GCTATTTCATATTGATTATATTTGATTACACCAATGAAAAATGTGAATAATTCAAGTGAGATAAATGAATAAGACTCATAATCCACTGTTTTATCAAAACTTGCCTTGGTCTTCATGAAAACAACATGCTGGTCTCATCTCCAAATATGCAATTCTCCATTAACATACAGAATTACATTTCCTACCATAAAAAGGTACATGAACATAATATATGTCAGTAAAATACAGTTTTGATAATGATCTACCGCAGCAAGATGCTAAGTAGGTTAGTTCTATGTAATATAGCAATTTTCCAAACTGTAGTCACAAAATGAACAAGACAGGACAATAGACAATACAATGTATAGTAAGGGTGTGGCTTTGTCTTAGTTACCTATAAACCTGCTGTTTCAACATGAGAAGGTGAAGATGTTCCATCTATAACATGGTGTTATATACAGTATTGTCTCAAACCTTATCGCCAGACAAGAACGTCCATATTAGATGATTCTCTTTGTACAAATATAAAAACAGCCAGATTGCATAATACTGCACACAACCATGTACAGATGAATATACTGTGCATAACCACCTACTGTATGTATATAAAGTAACTCAGATGTAGATTTCCCATTCAATATTTATTTCAGCACTCTTCCATACCTTGCACCACTTGTTTCCCTCTCAGATTGAATGCCACAACCTCTCAGAGGGAGAGAGAGAGAGAGAGAGAGAGAGAGAGAGAGAGAGAGAGAGAGAGAGAGAGAGAGTATTATTGCATCCCTTTATGGCCACAGTTTACCATCTTCTAATAGCTACTTCTAACATGATAACACACTGTGTCACAAAGCAAAAGTCTCATGAACATGTGCACTTCAGAGGCCTCTTCAGTCCTCAGATCTGAACGCAGTAGAACACCTTTGAGCTGTGGTAGAGTGAAAGATTGGCAGCATGAATGTGCAGCCGACAAAACCACAGAAATGATGTGACGCAGTCATGTCAACATGGAGCGGATTCTCAGAGGAATGTTTCCAACATCTCGTGGAATCCATGCCACAAAGTATTGAGGCTGTTTCGAGACCAAAGGGAGGCCCTACCCAGTATTAGTATGGTGTTCCTAATAAAGTGCTTGGTGAGTCTATTTGGCCAACAAAGCTGATTCTGATTCTGAATATCTGCACATGGCAACTAGGTTATGTTTAAAGTTAGGGAAAGATCATGGTTATGTTAAATAAAATATGGTGACGGTTTGGTAAGTGGTTGTGAAACTAAGACACGTCATCAAAGTTAGACATGCTCAACGACCATCAGCAATCCAGACTACCACACCATATATACCAGGACACGCTATAGGACACACCATTTCTGGATGTTGTCACTGGATGTATATCACGAGGTGTGGAACCATCCAATATAGATGTAAATCCTGGGGATGCTGTGCTGAGTATTGATATTATTCCTATCTGTGATACATAACCTGCTTTTCCTCTTGCTAATGCCTCACATTGTTAATCTGTCCATCATCTCTGCATCAGTTTATCTTTCTCCATGTTTCTGCTCACTATGAAAGGATAAGTTAGTTTGTGCACCTGCACTTTCACAAAGCAATATACTGAAGTGTACTGTTCAGTAAGCTGGTCTGAGGCAGGCTGAGGATAGGTTACTTACAATTAAGGTTAAGAATTTGTAAAAGCTTCAAAACACACATCATCAGAGTTGAAGGTAAATGCTCCTGCATTTGCCACCTGATTTCTACAAGCGTACTTACAAATGCCACAATATTGGAACATAAATAAAGAAAAGAATCAAAACATGTTTTGATAATTGAAAATTTGTTTTTGTAATTTACCAAGGAAAAATAGCGAAAATTGGTGGTATCTGGTGTCATCTTCTCCAATATGAGAAATATCTGCATTTTCCCATTTTAAATCATCATAAACTAGATATCTTTGCCTTGTGCAACACTTTGAACTGTAATGGATATTTTTCCTCAATTGTTTGAAGTTTCATAGTCTAAATGATAAATGAATTAATAAAAATATAATTGGTAGTTGATTAAAATAAAAATGAATCCTTGCAGCTCTAGTCAATCTTTTTCTACTTGGGCTGTTATGCTCTTTTTACAACTTTTAGAAATCGTTTTTCACAATTTCAACTTCACACACAACTTTTCTTTTTTCATCCCTATGTCTTTTCCTTGCACACACACACACACACACACACACACACACACACACACACACACACACATAGTATAAATAGTACAATCTACAGTATTTTAGTTATCTTACTGTATTGTACTACTATGATGTTTACAATCAATTAAAAGCTTAATCACTTGAAAAGCAGCCAAATATACGGCTCACCCCGCTGAAGTGCATTTGCTTTAACAATAGATGCATGCATGTGTGCATATGTGTATGTGTGCACCAGTGACTGTGTATGTGCACACCAAAGACAGTGTATGTGTGCACAAATGAGCTTCTGTGTGGATACAGTAACAAGTTGTGTGTGGGGTTTGTATTTCTAATAGACAAACTGTACTGTAATAAAGTAACAAAGAAGGAAACATTGCAGAACGTCTGCTGTGAAATGTCAGCAATCAGTTCACTGTGTTGGGGGTAATTGAACAACAGCAGACCTTTTCATGTATCCAGGCAGCCAGCAAAAGTTTTTGGAGGTATTGATGTGAAACAAATTCCCACTAATCTTTTTATGGATGTCTCAGCAGGCCAAAACAAAATGCTGTAGGGAATTCTGACACAACTTAACCAACTTCCAAGGTGCATAGAGAACGGAAAAAGTCTAGAGACATGAAAACTCAAGACACTTGTCGTATAAAGAACTATTTTATTGTCAGACCAACACATTTCGGCTTGACCCTGATGCAGGCCCAAGACCTGGGTATGACCTGGAAGACGCCCCTTGAATCCATTCATCACTGCCCTTTTTTTCAACTACTACACATATCTACTGTATATTTACCAATCCACACTCTCAGATGACACACCCCTGATTCTAATGATAGAAGTCATGTCATAAAATAAGCAATAAGACCTTGCTGAGCTAAAGGAAGTTCAACTAAAGTTTAAGCACTTATTCTAGGGTCAAGTTATATCAAGTATACAACCTAGTAGTTCTGCCTCATAATGATCATCTTTAGTGGTTTAAAAGTGAGTGATAAAAAATCAAATTGACAGTAGTAATTAGAGCAATCAATGGGTCAAGTGAAAATTATACGCACCATACACTGCATTTGATGATTGCAGCCTGCTGCTACATCTGTGTCAATCAATAAAATGACATTAAGAAAAATGAGGAACTCTTAGTAGAGTTTTGACTTCTTCAGTTTTTTGTAATTAATGTTTGTCATTGTCATCTGGATAGTAGCCTAGTGTTCTGTTTGAGTTATACTTTAAGCAGCAAAACATGTCACCGTAACATCATAAAAATTTCAGTTACTCTTACAAGCATTTTTCTCTTTCTTTCTTCGCTCTGTCAAACTTTAAAAAAAAATAAAAATAAAAAAAAAATCCATGCAACCTGCTCACCTGTGCCGGGCTCCTCGCCTCCGTTCCTCCGCTCCAGACGCCCCAGTGCGCGGGAGTAGCTTTCATAATCCGGCTGAAATGAAGAAAAAATAAAGACCGATCCCATCTGCATGAGCTGTAGATGAGTGACACTTGGGCTACAGTCCGCCTGGTGACATTGAGAGCGAGAGAGAGAGAGAGAGAGAGAGAGAGAGAGAGAGAGAGAGGGAGAGAGAGGGAGAGAAAGAGAGAGAGGGAGAGAGAGAGGTGCTGCCACCCTGTGGCTGCATAAATGCAATGAGAAAATTGAGATAAAGCTGCAGGGTGTACAGCTGTGCCTGACAATACAGTGAAGCATTTCCATTTGCTGCTAGTACAAAATGCAAATGTTTAAATGGCATTTTTTTCCTGCTGTGAGAAAGCTTGAATATGACCATCATGTAGGAATTGTTTGGGACTTTTTGTGCAGTATTTACAAAATGGCCATTCTTACTACATTAAAGGAATAATTTAAAAAAATACACTTTTCTCTTTCTTGCTGAGAGTTAGATGAGAAGATTGATACCACTTTGATAGAATGGGTAAATATAGCATACCACCAGCAGCTGGTTTGCCTTCAGTAGCGGAAAGACTGTAGGGGGAAACAGTAGACCAGCTCTTTCCAAAATCTATTGTACTGCTGATACTTCTTCTTTGGTCACTTTAGTCAATAGTCAATTGAGTGTTATGTTATTTTGGTACAGCTATTTTTGTTGATGTGCTTGCGGTGTGACACACGGATCATTTTTTCCCATGTAGTGGACCTGTTTACAGCATCACATAAACACTGTGAAATCAGTTCCTCTGTTCAAACTGCCAAGTTTAAAATAAAGTTAACAACTTGCACAGTCAGTACAAGAGAACAATATAGGCGACTATTCACCTCACCTTTAGGAGATGATAAAGTATAAACATAACTCAGTCAAAAGGATCTTCACAAGGGACTTTTAGAGGGTTTTATTTTGTGGTTGCTTAATTCATGAATTCATGGTTTCATATTTTGTTGATTTTTATGCTTATAAATTACTTTATTTCATATTGAACAATTTTTGGGCTCCATACTGCGCTGGACAAAGTATAAATTGTTTTATCATGAAATTGCTGCAACTCATATTCCTCATTAGTTGAGACATTTCAGTGTGGACAAACATAGTGGATCAACATTGTCATTCTTAAACAAAAACGTTAGGAAAGCCCTGTTAACCGGTAAGGGTACAAATGGTTATTAAACAGCTGAAAACCACCCAAGCCTAAACATGTAGGGGCCATTAAAGAGGCGTTCCAGCCATGACTGAAGTGGCTGCAGAAGTAATGTTGCAGTAGTAGTAACAAAGCGTAGCAGTAACAGGTAGGCCTAAATTCCCGACAGCACATGAACGCATCAAGCACCGGTGCAGCTGGATACTTCGTGTTACCTCAGAGAAAACAGTGATAACAATGAGATAGCATTAATCTGACACACAGGTTGCACCTGCACAGCCACGCGGATTAAAAGGCTTAACAGTCGATGACAGCAGGATTTCGTCTGAACCTGGACCCAGTCTGAACAAAGTTTAGAGTCACTGTTGCTCGAGCAAACAGCTGTTTCAACGTGCACCATACAAGCTAGACGAACTGGGCGAAATCGCGACCCTAACCTTGGTCCTGAATGTCTAAACTACCAGGAAATGCAGGTGTGTCGGTGCTCGGGGACAAGTCGCTGGAGTTTTACCGGGACCCGGTGAGCTTCTACCGGGAGCGTATCGAGAAACACCGGAGCAGAGTGTTTCAGTGCCGCCTGCTGAACAGACCGACCACCTTCATCTGCTCCGTGCAGGCAATGAGAGAGCTGCTGTGTGGTAGGCTATGTTCTCTGTGCATCATTGTTTACGTGTGTGTGCTTGTGTGTGTTTGTGTCTGTCTCTTTACTTTTAACTCAACATCTCGGAGTTTGAGTTTAAAGTAAATGTTCACAAACAGAAAAAACGATTCTACGGATCAGTATTTTTCCGTTGCTGAATTATTAATCACAGCCTGAGTGATAAATCATTGAGTCAATTGTTAACTTTATTTATTAGATGTTGTGCCACCTGTTTGTGCCATCATTAAACGGATAGCCTACATACAGAAAGTAGTGCGTCTATTTCCTTGTTTTCTCTGCCTCGGGATAATGAGTCAGAGTTTGTCCTCGGGCAGGGGAACAAAAGGAAAACTTCTTCTATATGGGGTAAAATTAACCCCCGAGATTAGTGTGATCTGTCATGGGAGAGACTCGTGATGGTGCTGTACAGGGGGAAGGAGGGGGATGTAACTGAGATGAAATTTTATTGTAGTACTATTATATTCTACCACCTTTTGATAGGCTAGTTGTACTATTAACAAGTATATAATAAATACAGACTATATGAAATATTAACTGCATAATGTCATCAAATGTCGTATAATATATCAACTGATATGATTAATATAATTATGCCAAACCTCCTCAATGCATCATCAGCTTTGCCTTAATACAGTACAGGCTAAAGGCAGAAAAGTTTGTGAACAGGAAAATGTCATGTTTGAAGTTATTAGCAAATATAATGAAATGCCCAAATAAAAGAAATAATAACACATTGTATTGAGATTAAAAAAATAAAAGATACACAGCATTCATTAGATTACAAAACAGTAATGGGACTATCAAGATAATCATTTGTCAAGCTAAGGTTAGACATCTGGAAATACACACACACACACACCTGCTGCCAGAATCAAACCTGACATGGACATTGTGTATATGATTGATGCAATGAGTGTGTGAACAGTATGTATATATGTTTGTGTGTATGTTTGTGTTTCAGAGAAGTCCAACGTGTTTCAGAAGGATCCAACTGACTTGATGACCAACATGTTCGGTGACACCATTGTCACCACTAATGGTAAACACACACATACACAACAGCCCCACAAATACCACAAAACAGAGCCTCTAACGTGGCTTCAACAATTATTTGATTAGTTGATTGACAGAAAATAAATCAGCAACAATCTTGAAATTTATTTGCGTCATTTTTAAAGCAGAAATCGAAAAAAAAAAAGTACTTTTTCACATGTGAATATTTTCTGACATTCGTTAAAGTAAACTAAAGCTCTTGGGTTTTTGGTCTATTGGTCAGACAAAACAAAACATTTGAAGATGTCATTTTGGACTCTAGAGACTTCTGAGGGGTGTTTTTTCATATTCTATAAACTGAAAGAAATTGATTAAATGGGAAAATAATGGGTTGATTAATCAATAATGAAAATAATCATTAGTCGTAACCAGTGTCTGTTAGAAAGCTAAAACTATGCAGAAGGTATAGTGGAAAAAACTGACTCTGGTGACTTTTTACCACCCACTACAATACATACCTTACACTTGTATAATACAGGACCATGACTGTAATCTGCTTAAATTCTGCTCTGCAAATGTAAATATGAGGAACTTGTATCTGCATGTTTCAGGCGAAGAGGCGTGTCTTCTCCGTCTGTCCCTCACCAGCCTCTTTTCAGGAAGTTGTTTGGAATCGTCAAGTGATTATATCACCAGGTAGGGAAAGAAATTTCACTGGAATAGTGTTTCAGCATAAATTCATATGATATTTTGTTGTTGGGGATGTCTTTGATGGTGTTAACAGCCATGCATTCATGACCTGGAGAGTGACATAGTTCTTCATACAGTTTCATGAGTTTAAATAGGCGTACAAAGCTCATTCTCTTTTTTTCTTTTTTTTTCTTTTTTTTAAGTCTGGTTGTGTATTTAGACATTAACTGTGTCCAGCCTCTTGTTCTATGAATGTCCACGATGGAACCAGAAATGCTTGCAAGGACATTTGTGACGCAACTGCAGGGCTTTTATTGCTGCAACAGTTGTGGTGTGCCCATCCATGTCAAAGGTTTCTTGAGCAAACGAATGAATGAAATGACTCCTATCTGTTCCAGGGACAAAACTTACCTATAGTAATTATACTGTGTGTAATGTGGTGATTTAATATTTGAATAACAAGTGAATGTTTCTTATGATATTGTTGTAATGTATATATTTTCGAAGACTCCCTTGTGATTACTTTGAAATGAGAAGTGTTTTTCTCTACCTCTTTCTTGCCACAGTGTATGTGTTCGCTGTCTGAAGGAGCTCTCTCTCAGGTACCACTTAACATAAACCTCCAGCACTTAAAGCATTTCTATTTATATGTTATATATTTAGATTTCTTTTTTACAGACCTTTGTCCTTAATGCCTCCCATATTACCCCTTTTTACTACAGTCATTAGGGGGATTTTTAGCAGCATTTCATTCATTATTTTAGGACAGTAAAAGTAATGTATGCAACTAATTGATGCAACTGATCTATTAATGTGTAGTAGGCAGCCAGAGTGTGTCTACTCTGTCTTTAAGCGCCTGGGGACGGAGTTGGTTTTGGGCCTTTTTCTGAATGTACGAGCGGAGGAGCAGCCTGAACTGTTCCAGGAAATCACGCAACTCTGCACCCAGCAGTAGCATGGTAGACACACACACACACACACACACACACATACATACATATACATATATATATAACCAAGTATGGATGTATATATACAGAGTTGCCACTGACATTCCCAAGCAGCTTCCTTTTTTTTCTTTCTGTAACTATCAGTTGGTAGCACTCGTATTATAAGACACTTGCTCTCAAAATCTTTCTCTTCCAGATTTGCTTGCCACGTCTGTGTTCTTGCGCTGCAACACAGCATTGCAAAATTTACCACTTCCCTTTTCTTTTCAGTTCAATAAAGCTTTTTCAGTGTGTTTTTGACCATCTTCGCGTGTTAACTTCTGCCCCTGCAGGCCTGATCTCTGCTCCAGTCAACGTGAAGGTTCCTCTGTGGTCGTCGGGTTTCTCCACAGCTCTGGACGCCAGAGACAAACTAATGGACATCATCAAAGACAAACTGGAGAATGACACACAGGGGTGAGACTGAGACTGCCTCCTGTCTTCACTTACTATGTTTCAAACACACGAGCGCAGACACACACACACACACATACACACACACACACACACACACACACACACACACACACACACACACACACACACACACACACGCTAATGACTGATCTTTGACCTTGTTTTCTTCTCTCTCAAACTTAGTCAGGTCAGAAATGATACTATTTGCACCCAAATTATGCAGAACTTTACAGATTTTCTAAGGCAACAGTGACATTATCCACTGAAAATAGTAATGGCTCTTCATCATTGTGTTACCCCCCCCCACCCAACTGGCCCTCTCTAGTTTTGTGGGCACTCTCAGGTCTTTGCCGCTGCCCGACTCCAGTTGTGCCTCCCAGCATCTCCTGCTGTTCATCTCGGCTCTGATCCCCAAAGCTCTGGCGTCGCTGCTCACCTCCTTCACACTGGCACTCAGTGGAAACGAACAGGTACGCAAACCCAGACAAAAGTGCACATGTGGATGAGAAAAAATGACAACAGGATACAGCTGAACAATTCGATGTTTAATACACAGATATCCTGTAAACAATAACTATATAGCTCTTCTGATTGTGAGAATTTCTGAAGAAAAAGTGCCTAAAGGAAATTAAGGCATTCCTTTGAATTGAATTAAGACACAGTCAAATCCATCATCCTCGTTCTTTAGCTCTTTGTATTCTTACATCAAATCCTAATTAAAAAAAAAACCGCTGTGGTGGAAATTGGTTTTAAAACAGCACTACATTTAAAATTATTACCAGTATTTCTTTTCTTTCTGAGCAAGAACCTTTTTCTGCCAAGCTCTTCCTGTTTTAATTGTTAAATTAACAAATAAAAATCTTCTCTTTCTCCATGATCAGGAGGAGAAACGCAGACGAGCGATAGAAGACCCTGATTACCTGCACAGAGTACTGCTGGAGGTGCAGAGACTCTGGCCTCCTTTCATTGGTGGACGCAGAATAGCTGATAAGGTAGGGCTGCTCTGCTGGGGACTGAAACACATTCTAATGATTTTCACGTTGTGCTGAATGAGAACTGAGGATCTTATCATCCTGTGTTTTGAATGTGAGAGATTCAGTGTCACTTTTGGGCTCAGTCGTTATCAGAATGGATTTAGACAAGTCATTATAACACAGATTTGGCCGTAATGGCTGTTTTTCAAGATCATGGAGGGTCTGCACTGGTCTGCGAAAAATAGGGATACCATGGTCTGCTGACCACTGCCTGCAAATGTTAGCGTATCATGAAGTGTGGGGGAGTTGAGGATTGAAATTGTGCATCTAGATCAAACTTGTCTGATTTTATGTGTCACATTTTTGACGTGTAGTAGATGCAGTTGTCCAGAAGATCTTATATATAGAAAAATATATCACTCACTGGATTATTAACATTATAAGCATCATAAAGAGCCAGAATAAGAGAAAACTATAGTACTCATTCAGTATTACAATATATCAGATTTTTTTTGTTCAGTTTGCATAAGAAATATAAAAAATTATTTCTATCATTTATTTCACTCTGGATTCAGTTTATGCTATGCTAGATGTGGGAAAGGTAAAAATTTTAACAAGGATTTATATGTTGTAGGACAGCTTGATTCCTTCCTTAGAAAACCCTATGTTGATGTACACCATTGTACAAAATGTCTCCCATTACTTTACATTTCGAAGAATTTGTGGTGGTTGTTATTGTACCTCTGTGTTTTTATCCTCCTGTAGTCTTCGCAAAGTGGAGGGTTTTGTTTTGTTGTACTATGCGTTGCTCTCCTTTCCTCCAGATGGCGACAGATTACTGTAGATGAAAGTCTAATCCGCTGTCAGGTCCTCTCTTCTGAGTCTAATGTGCAGTACGACCTACAGGGGCTGGACTAAATAACAGCATCATTTTACAGTGCATTATGGTGTATATATTATATGGTAGGTGTCCAGTAAAAACCTTGTTACTGGTATTTTAATCTTGAGACGTGAGTCCTATTATTAGGCAACTAGGCAACAAGGCAACATGAAACATTAATAGACAAGTTACTGAGGCGAGGCCAGACAGTCACTGCCTGAAAACTAAGGTGTTTCTGTTATTTTGGACTCTTTCTTTTTATTAGAAATTGTTGCATGTTGGTTCAGCTGTCACTTCCGCATGCTTTGTTTACTAATAACTTATTATCTATAAAGTTTTGTTAAAAGTTGTAGTCTAGTAGAACTTGTGTTGTTGTGTTAATTTTACTCTGTATGCTGGTATGACATCAGAGCTGTCAACCAATAGAATCACACTTTTAATAAAAAATACTGTCTCATGATTGGCCGGCTGCCTATCCCGATGGCAGGGCGGTCAGAGCGTCTCTGCTTCCTCCCACTCCGGTTGTCTTTGATCATTGTGACCTCATCAAACAGGCTTATGCAACGACCTAATCAGAGGCATTGATCCATCTCTGTGATTGATTGGCTCCGCTCCGCCAGAAGGAAGGAAGCGAGGTTGGGGTCGGGGTTGGTGGTGGTGTTGGCGTTGAGGGGGGTGGTGGGGGATGCTGGTGACGCTGTGAAGCCAAGTGGAAAGTCATTTGTCACTTCTAGGAAATGCACCAGTACACTTTGATTACCGACGGCCTCGGTGGGACATGGGTCCATGACGTGGGGTTTTTAGAGAATTTTAGAGGAGAAAGAACTCAAGGACTAGGCACATTTCACAAGATTTGTGAAGCAGTAGAGTTCATAAAGGTCAATATATAACAACAAGGAAACAAACATAAGCGAACAAGCATAAATGCAGATGGTTTGGCCGTCATGAGGGGAGGAAGGAGTACTAGAATAACTGTGGTGCTTCAAGTGCACATAAGACTGTTATTTTTGTTGAAAAGTATTTAAGCCAAGGTACAAAAGTAGCTCTTTTGAAGATTACTTACAGTTAATTAGTGACATATTGCCACTGTCACAGTCCTTCCCCTGCCATCCCTTTTGTGGAACCTCAAAAATAAGTAGAAAAGCAAGAGATAAGAGCCGGATCTGTACTGAAAAGAGTTAATGAGATGTTTATGTGTGCAGGTAGGCGTGTAAGAAGGAGAAAGATTATTAGTATTCACAATCAGGTGGAAAAAGTAGAAGCTCCATCAGGTGGAACTAAGATATGCAATAGTTCAAGCAGCTTGAATGTGTTTTGAGTTTCTGAGAGCAGGTCGGAGAGAGAGAATGAACTCATATCTCTCAGTGAGAACCGCAAGAAAGAAGGAGATTTGTATAAGATTTTCCACTCCAGCAGAGAGAGGCAGAGAGAAAAATGAGAGAGAGGGGATAGAGGAAAGAGAAACAGTGATCATGTTCTCTGGCAGTCCATTAGTGCAGCTACTAATGGATGTAGTGAAAAGGTGAATTAAAAGGGCTACAATTGGGTAAGTGGCCTTTTTGCCCCAAGGTGGCTCCTTTCTCCAGAAAAAAAAAAAAACAGCTCAGGAAATTTTGTAGAAACGGGAATTTCAGCTTTCATTCAAGCAAAACGTCAGGGTTAAAAATGTCTCCCATTCATTTTGGTTCAAAGGGGTATTATAGCATGTTCTTGACAATGCTGTCATTTTATTGTCCCCAGTTCAATTTCAAGTGCAGGTGGTAATCTTGCTTTACAATTCTAAAACTCTTGCTCAACAGTTTCTGCAGCACACGGGTGATAGGAAGATATGAAGCAGCATTTACTGTAGTATTTGCTTGATTTTCCATTTTGAAAACTGAACACAAAAGCCAAGTTCAGCCCAGGGAGCAGTACGTTCATCCTTTCAAGTGTTGGGAAGCCATATGTGAATTGTCATGGTGACAATTCCAACACTTGGACGTACATGAAACTCACAGTGAAAACAGTTAGCAGCAACTTAAACATGTGTAAGTCTACAGATTTAAACTTTAACATCAAATTGAATTTCACAGTATTTTTTAAGCTTCATTCATTTATCATTCAAATGGATGCTTCAAAGCCCAAAAAAACACATTAAGGACGGCTCTAACTGCATGAAAAAATAAAGAGTTACCAATTGAAAAATGAAAAGATCATCACGAAAATTATCATGATGTTAATTTCCTTTCATGTGAGTATAATAATGTGGTGTCCCCTTCTCTGTGTGTGTGTGTGTGTGTGTGTGTGTGTGTGTGTGTAGGACTCCACTCTCGCAGGGTTTCATGTTCCAAAGGGTTACGGTGCGATCTATATCAGCCACGCCGTCCACCGTGACCCGGAGGTGTTCCAGCAGCCGGACAACTTCCTACCAGAGAGGTGGAGCGGAAGGTGAGGATGTTAGATTTGGTCTTTCAGCTTATTAAGTTTAGGTCTTGTTTTAAAAGAAATCGTCTTAAGTATCCCATGTGCTTCCCCTCTTATGGTACAGAGGTTAGGTCAAGGTTGAAATTAAATTAGATAAGTAGAAAATGAAAGCAGGGCGTACACAACGTGTGAATGAAAAGTCAGGTTCACTATATGATATACAAAGAGCCCTAAAGACACGAAGAGCAAAACATATGAAATGGAAGAAACATTGGAGTAATTTAAAGGCAGAAACAAACAAAAAAAAAAAGCACATTTAAAATGAAATTTTTGCAAATGACTTGTGCAAATGTATTTACATGTACTGTATATGCATGTAGGCTTTTTATATGTTTGTGTGTATTTGTACATGTGTTTTTGTTTGTGTATTTGTGCAACTTTGTGGAACGCTTTGCATTTAAACAGCATTTGCAGCAGTGAATGAACCCTCTGACCCAGGCTCTGCGGGTTAAAGTTTTATCCGTCTGTGTTGTTACCACAGCCCAACATGCACCATGTAGGATTCGTACACAAGGGAAAGTGTATTTACTTTGAAGCGATTGGTAAAAATTTCTTTACCTTTACCTTTGATTTGACAGCATTTTGATCAAAACTACAGTTGTAGCCATATTTTATGGCAAGACATGACTTTGTCACCCAAAATCATTTAATGAAAATCAGTTAAGTAGGTGCTAGCTAGCTATCATTTCCTTACCCTTTTTTATTAGTCTGAAATTGTTGAAATTAATGTTGGCCGTATCACCATCACATTAATATTTGCTAACCTTGGCTGTGTTGGCCATGTGGATTCGAAGTGTATATGAATTTTTCACTTAGAGTCCAACTTTGGTGACCTTTGATACATTACTCTGTGGCATTATTGCAAACCACCGTGATAGTGGTGACCTTTGAGGTAATAGAGAGCCAGAGAGTCCAAAACTGATGAAGCTATTCTAGCTTTAGCTGTGTTACACAGGCAAATGCCAATTAGCAGTGGATGGAGGCATTTCTGAAGTTTTAATGCTGCAACTCAATAGAGTAAATCGCTAGTTTAAAAGATAGATAGTAGTTATTAAGAACTATGAAAGGATGCAGACATTTAGTCATAGATGTAGCTGGTGCAATCTAATCCAACTGTCCTGTGGTGAAATGGACATACGTTTTACTGACTACAAATACACTTTTAAAAATGGATGATGGTTTAAATGCAGCTCCTGCTTTGCCTGTGATCAGAGGCCATGCATTGTAAGATAAAAATAACAGAGGATAGATAGATAGATAGATAGATAGATAGATAGATATCACAGCCATTCGTTGATTTTATCATTTTACATATCTGACTAGTCATCTACTTTGTCTTCAGTGTAGCCTGCAGCTTGCTTTATGATTCTGTACATACAACGCCTACATCGTTGCCATAACAATCACTGCACATAGATTAACACCCAAGTGCTCAAATCTGACCTGATCACTCTAGAGATGCACGAAGAGACATTTGAAGACAAACTGTGGGTCAGCATCCTTCACTCGCATCCCGCACTCTGTCTGCTGCGTGCTCTGGTAAAATGAAACCTGCTCTGGCTCCTTCACTAATTCCTTTTTTTTTTTGTTCATCCACTTCCTCCATTCACCAGTTTATTCTCATTCATGCTCGTTCATTCAGGCGACAGGGCAGAGGGGGGAAAAATCTATGAATGTATGTATGTAGGTAGCTGCTGCCATGGAAACTGGTCACCTGACACTGCTTTACCAATTCCCTGTGTGTGTGTGTGTGTGTGTGTGTGTGTGTGTGTGTGTGTGTGTGTGTGTGTGTGTGTGTGCGTGTGCGTGTGCATGTGCGTGTGCCTGTGCGTGTGCCTGTGTAGGGTGGGGGAGAATGATGCCCTATGGAGTGGGATGGGATGCAGAGAAATGAGTCAGAGAAGATCCTTTTTTTTTTTTCTTTTTTTTTTCTTGCGCACATGTGTGTTGCTCTCAAAGACAGGAAATGTCCTTTTTAGTTTGGGGTTTCCCTTTTATCAGATAAATATAACTACCATTATAAAACCGTTAAGCGATTTCACAGGGATTACCCTCTTATGACAAGTCTGATGTTTTTCAAGGTCAAGATATTATTTATTTTTACAGACAAACCTTCACTGCCTCAGTATATTTTGTCTGGATGTGAGTATTAAGCTGTATATACCAGTTCATTATTTGAATGTAATTGTATATTTCCTACAGTATTAGCATCCATTGGGTGACCTAATGGATTTGTAGTCCTATCTTATCTAAAGGAAATCTTTGTAGTCACAGCCTGCAATGATTTACAAGGAGCATTACTATTTTACATACATACATTACATATTAGTTTCCATTCAGTGTCAAAAGGACAGAGTTTGTATAGTTAAAAAAAAACTAGAATAAATTAAACCAAAAAAATATCAGTTCAACAAATTTGTTTTTGATTATCTACTTGTGCAGAACACAACATTAACCAACATTAATTTAGTAAAATATGTCTTTCAAAATTTACTGGTGTGTGTGTAAAAGCAACAGAGCACTCAGTTGAAAAAAATAAAATCTATGAATGAATAGACAGGTAGCTGCTGCCATGGTAACTAGCCACCTCACACTCGTTTTTACCAATGGGGATTCCCCCTGCGGTTTGTGTGTGTGTGTGTGTGTGTGTGTGTGTACATCCTCTGCAGGATGGAATGGGGTTAAGGAATGAGTCAGAGGAGGTTTTCTTTGAGACAATGTGATGTGAACTCTAGAAAATGCATCATAAAAAATATACAAAGTGTGGAATGCACTGTACGTGCCTAAAATTCTGGATGTAGCTCAGCCAAGGTCGAAGACACCCTGACGTAAAGCATATGAGGATTCTGAGAATTAAAGGATACGTCTGGTTGTATTCTGTATTTGTCTTACAGTCAACAAATCCCATTAAACACCACCACTGACAATGAATTGATCCCACTGGCAAGTATTGTCTGTGTAACTAAAGCCTGACATAGCCTATTCATCTGTGCCATGCAGTATGTCTCCATTGTCAAAAACCATTAAAAATGAGCCACACTGTTGCACTGGGTGATATGATTCTTCATTAAACTGAGCACTGGAGTTTACTTTTAATCGATCTCAGGTAAACCATCCTGCTGCCATAAATAAATCATGCGTTCTAAAAACCACAATGCCCTGCAGTTTTAGAGATGGTTTATCCTTTTTAAAATTGAAAGTGTACTGTATACTGTATTCATGACCTGTTTTTTTTAAAGATGAATGCCTTCAGTAGGAACCAATGGGCTTGGGGTTGAGTGGTAACAGTAGTGGTAAGGGATTCAGTTTTTTTATTTTTTATTTTCTTAGGGTGTTACAGGAGTATGTGTATACTAGTTAGGTTGTCTCTTAACTGCTTCTCAAACTAGTGAATTCCCCTCAAAATGAATAAATTAGCTGTCTTTCTGTCTGTTTGTTTGTGTGTTTGCTTTATATCCTCTTCCAAACTTCCATTTATCTTCCGGTCTGCTTCTCCTTCCTCCTACCTGCTTCTTTCTCTGCTTCTCCATCTGTCAGTCTTCCTGGAGACTATTTTCCTGTCAGTCTTGATAGTTGCCTGGCTTCTTTCCTTGCCACCTGGCTGTTTAATTTAATGACTGCAGTCCTGTTACATAACAAGCCTCCCTACGATAACTACATTTTAATCACGTCGTCTGTTTGTGCGTGTATGTTTCTGTGCGATAGTTGTGTATATTGTCTGCCGTGTGTTACCCAGTACAAATCGTCAGTGTGCGTGTGTGTGAGCTTTTCCAGTTGGAAGCAAACAGTAGAGCTAGCAAGTTAACATCCTATCAGCCAAACGCCCACACTGGCTCTGGCCATAGATAAATGAATCGGAAACGCTGCCAAACAGATAAAAATCAGAGCTACTGCAGTGGGCTGTGTTGCTAGTTTTAGATAAATCTAAAAACAGGAAGTGTCTTGGTCTACAAAAAACACAGACATATGTCTGTTTTTATTTGAAGTGGAAATTTGCTTAGCCTTTTATGTTGCAATAAATCACCCATTACATGAATGATTCGAAAGACTCAAGTCAACATAAGTTCCTAGAGATAACTTCAGGTTTGTTTGTCATGGCCTGTGTTTTAAAGGGGACCTATTATGCTTTTCTGAGTTATTCCGTACTTATAGTTTGTTATATAGGTTTTTGTGCATGTAAATGGTCTCCAGAGTCACAAGGATCAAAGTTTACAATTTTCTCCTTTGTATAAAACGCCTCATTGGGGGTCCAGACATTACTTCCTGGTCCTATTGACGTCAGTACTTCTCTTGGTGCTGCCCACCTGCAAGCTTAGCACACCCCCACACAAAGCACAGCACATAACTACTTATGGTGAAGAGTTTTCATTAGTTTTGTAGCCATGCCGAAAAGACAGTGTTCTTAAATTCCTGCAGAAATCTACTTCATTTTTCCGCGGTTCTCCACTGCTCCAAACATCATAGTGTGAGCCCGCACATCAAGGAGGACTGCTTCAGAAACCACACACAGTTAGATGCTTCATTTTCACAACAGTTATTTCTGTAATTCCCACTTGATGTGGCCAAACAGGGGGCTCAGCCTCACTGTCGGTCTACATTGTTATTATGGATGTTAACCGCGTTACCGCGACCTGATCATGTTAGTAAGAAGCAGCATAGCAAAGATATAAATGCTTAAACGTTTGTCAGTGATGACATGTTGTACCTCGTTAGCTTAGATAAATAAGATGAGATAAGTTAATTTTTCAGTAACTATGCCCACTAAAGTTAAATTCATTCAGATTTACCAGCATCATAAACCAGCAGGAGGTGAAGCGTCGGAGACTACCTACCTGTCGACCGTCTGTCTGTTCCTCCATTATTTATATTCCTTTAGTCCGGAAGTGTCCACACATAAAAAAATGAAAAGGGTTTCTTGAAAGCTGAGTTCATAGTGGAAGTGGGGCTTATTTTGTTTTCTTTTGTCTTATACAGTCAGTAGCAAGTGATACTGACATCATTTCAGCTGACACAGAGATGATCATTAACTTGTTGTTACTTCTTACAACATATGTTGACTTATACAACATCTTATCTTATCAACACTTCACTCTCCATTTTTCTTTCGCTATTTTTAATGAGTGTAGTTAGTTAGCTAACTAAAAAGGAAGATAACTAGCTACCTAGCTTTGAAGATGATTCTTAATCTCACCTATTAGGCTCTTTTTGGTCAATTGTTTCTCTAACCATGGGAATCAGCTGTCAAATGGCACGATACCAACCCTATTTGAATTGCTGAATGCTGGTGCTCTAAAGAGGCCTTGTGCTGACACAAAAATTTACATATATTTAATCATTTACCATTTGTGTTTTAGATGACTAAAACATTTTCAGAGCATCTTTCTGAATCCCCTCTATTCTAACTAATAGTTAATTGAATTAATTTAATGTCCACTCAGAGTTCAGTCTTTCAGAACACTTTACACGTTATACAAGAAAAATTAATTATACTGTATAATAGATTATATTCTCTGATTCACTTCCCATCCACTCAGCATATTTGATATTACCTTATGTAGGGCTGCTTGGTAAGACTTCCTCTCTGTGTGTCTCAGTATTACAAGACTGCATTGTGTGCTATACATCTTACTGTTTCAGGATGAGCCTAATAGTACATTAAACCATTAGACAGATGCTGCAGGGAACACTAATATTCTCTCTCTCTCTGTGTCTCTAACTCACACACACACACAAACCCTCTCACACACACTGAACCCAGACTATACACACCACTAATGCTTCCTGTTTGCCTTTAATCAGAGCTCAGGTTTCAGGAAGACAGGATGCATTAGTGGTGAGAGGGGAGAGACGGCCTGCATCAGCAGGCTGTTGACAAACCTGCTGGATGGAACCAACCGAGAGGAGTTACACCGTGTCAAGTTGTGGTGCTGATTTTTGTTCATGTTGTGTTATTGTGTACCTTCAGACGTGTTCATTCCTCTCTGGTGTCGAGGTGATTTTCTTTTCATGCTCAAAAGAGAAGCTTGTCGTTTAATTGGTTCACATGCAGCACTATTCACTATTTTGAGACCTTCAACTTTGAACCTTAAAGGTACCCTGTTTAAATTTTGACCACTTGTTGCCCCTTGGACCAATGTTGAGCTCCGTTTTGTTTGCGCCATGCATGGTACATATTTCTGCCTCCAGTTTCACACTATGCCACTGATCGACAGTTGATGGAGATAACATGCAAATAAGCGAAGCTATGTGCCCGCAAGGGCAATGAAGGAGGACTGCAAGCTAGAAATCATGGACGTGAACAATACAGGAATTAAAAATATTCAAAAAAATCCGCTTTGCAAAGGAAATATACTCAACTTGTTCGATAACCTCAAGGATACACAGTTGATTATGGTGAGAAACACTGAATATAAACATGACTTTTGTTTGCAAAAAAATCTCCAAGGGGCACCTTTAAATTCTCTGGCTGGATCTGAATCAGATTTCTTTTTATCTTTTTCTTTTTTTAAAGAAATTAAAACATAGTGTACTACTGTATGTAAATGGTATTGAAAGTACCAGTGGTGTTTAAATAACATGTAGATAATCTAACCAATGGATTGCACTGATAGTGTATGAAAATCAGTGAAGGAATGAACAGAAATATAGACCCATAGAGTGCTGTTGTTTTTTGTGGGAAAGAGTTTGTAAATCACCATAGTGAAAGATTTGATCACATCTGCATTCATTTATAAATGAACAAGGTTTACTAACCACTGATCACCACCTGGTCCTGTCATTGGTTGAGAAACTGTATTGAACAACATGTCATCATCATCTGATCTTAACATGATGTCCCATCTGATGATCATCCTGTGGATAACAACACCTCCTTTGACAGTTTTGGATGAAGTGCTCATTATTCTGTTTAGCGAATGACTATGAATGGAATCCAGTTCTGTTGAACAATACTGACTTGAGCACTCTGATTTTTTTGTGTGTGTGTGTGTGTGTGTGTGTGTGTGTGTGTGTGTTGTGTTTTCCTATATCTCTTTAAACTATGTCAGATTATTGATTTCTGCAACTCTGATATCCACAAACTATGTACCCATGTTTTTTTATGTGCAGGAATGCAGGCCAGGAGCACTTCCTGTGTTCCTTCGGCAGCGGGCCCAGGAGCTGTATTGGATCTAAACTTAATGATGTCTTCCTTAAGGTGAATCCACACACACACACACACATAAATGCATATGAAGAACTGACTCAAGGAAAAGTATTTTTTCACTTTCATCTTGACTTTCTGTTGCATTTAATTCATGTTTTTAGTCAGGGACACAAAACAAGACGGAAAACTTTTATGGCCTCAAGATTTACTCTTTCCACTACAACTAAACAAAAATACAATGATGAGTAGAGAAGAGAAATTATCATGCAGATGCAGCTGGGTAGAATTAAGATGAAATTATACTTCCCATGTCTGCATAGCCATGTGGGTCCATGCAGACTTTATGGGAAATGCTCAAAATGTACCCTGAACAGATCGTCTGTTCCAACTGCTTGTGTAAACACATCCACCCAAGCAGACACAGTGTAGTTTTAATAGAACCATGTCCACTGTCTGCATTTGTATCCTTGTCTGTTTTGGAGTACACAACTATTTACCAGTCACACATCAGAGTATTTCACTTGCTGTTGTCTTTTAGGACATATCATGATAAACACAGCACAAGGACAGTCTGAGTCTTAGTTCAGAGTTTTGAAGCTTAATGCCCACTGAATGAACCAAGAGAGAAACCAGCAGTGACAGACGGAGAGGTGAACCATCCCCCAACCATTCAGTAAATAGAGCACCGCTCATGGGAATGATGAAATGCTTGGCTGTGTGTGTATGTGTTTGAGTGTGTGTGTGTGTAAGAGAGGGAGAGAGAATGTGTGTTTATTAGAGATATCAGACGGAGAGTCTAGGTACAGGTTGTCCTGTTTAAACCACCTGTCCTTCCCCAAGGCAGCATTCACCATAGCCACTATTGCATGTATAACCTACTCAGGAGACAGACGCCCACATACACAGCCTACGGAAGGCACCAGAGCAAGACAGGTGTGCTACAGGTGTGACAACAGGATGGAGAGAGATTTATTTCCCATGTAGGGGTGTTCTCTCTGGAAACAGAGTGTGTATGTGCAAGTGTGTATGTATGTGTTGTGAGCCTTGACTCTTGGGAGTACAGGGGTGACACCAACTTGAAAATAACCACTGTGGGCCAGTGAATCCCCAATGTTTTAACTGTCGGTGGAACTGGATTTTAAGGATCCCCTCTGGTTCTCAGTAATCACAGCCAAACCTGGTGTAGGTTCAAAAATTCTAATAAAAATGATCGAATATTTATTAATTTATTTATTTTGTTGGAACCAATAAAGTGAAATCCTTTAATTTAATTGGCCGTTTGCTTAACTCCACCACTACTACACCATCTAAGATTTCTGCTCTTGAATAACACATAAATAGTTTACAATGATAAATCAACAGGTGGCTGAAATAACAATTGTTGCTAGCAGTTTTTATCAGCTGTGGCTAGCTAGCTAGATAATTAAGCTAAAGTCAACTCCATGAGTTGTTTGAAAACAATACAACAAATAAAGAAACATAATTGTTCTTGAATTGCAGTGTAGTGTAGTATGAATATATAAGTATGATAAGGGAAAATGTAAGATCAGACCTTTTATTCATTCCAAAGTGACTGTGTTTGGATGCTTAGCAAATGAGCTTGGATAAGTTGGATCAGTGTGTTTAATTTTTTCACGTTAGCTTTTGTGGAAAACAAATTTGGCTGCGGTTGATGGAATGTAAATTTTCTCAAATCCAATAGAGAGCAGGACAGAGCTGGAGATTAGCCCTCTCTCTGATATGGTAGCATCAAAGACCAGCTTCCAGTCAGAAGGGAAACGTTACTCCACAGCAGATATGTTATCACATTTTTAACATGTCATCCCACAAAATGTAGTTAGCTAATGAAATGCTCCTTGGCCCTGGCCTAGTGCTTTGCTAGCTAGTTAGCCGTACATGCTAATGTTAATGGCTTACATTAGAGCACAGCATATATTCATTGATTTCTTCCACTGTTGTGGAAAAATCCAATGTTTTAGAGGCCTAACACGCCTAAAGGGGTTGCTAAGCTATGATTAGACAATTGCTGTTTGTGAGAGGTATTTAGCAAAAGGTTCATTTTTAAGAACATGCCTATTCATTACCAAACTGATTTAACTATGAAGCCTGTGGTCTGTAGTCAAACACTTGAAATGCACAAAAGGAAATGTAGTTCTGTAATATTTTAAGCCAATGGGCTACACAGTCTCGTTTTGATGATTTCATTCATTCATGCCATTCATGCCTCATCAACTGCTTATCACTGTGGTTTCTCAATGAACATAGCAAGTAAGACCAGCCAAGAGAACAGCAGGAAGGAAGCAGATTGCACTAGTCAGCCAAAAGAGGCTTATCTCAGCAGTCCACATCCGTTGAGTCAGACTGTTAACTAACTGTTTAACCTACTGTGGTAGATCACGTAGACAGCATATACATGTTTTTCTTCTCAGATTATTAAAGAGCAAAAACAGCAACACATGAACACGTAATATGGATGGGGGTGTTACTGCAAGCTATCCAAAATGCAACAGTGAGGGATGACTCAGTCCTACACACACACAC